ACCTTTTTATATACATTTTAAATATGTTTCTTGCATTATGCCTAAATTTCATGATATATGTCTATGTACACATATGTGTATTCCATGTAATTTTTGTTTTGTACGTTAATATGTAAATAATGCATATTTTTATGGTAAGTGCATTCATTAATTTAATAGGCATAATGTAAACAAATACCCCTAACGTTTGACCATATATGCAATTGTGCCCAAATCATTTTTTTGGAACATTTGACCTCCCCACGTTTCATTTTGGGTCAAAAATCACCATCGTTGGAAAAACCGTTAGTCAACTAACGGTCAATGCCTGAAGCTGACTCAGCAAGAACATGTGGAGGAAGATACTGACGTGACATGTCCATATAATAGTAGATGATGATGTGGCAAATCCACGTAGACTAAATGCTGATGGCATGTACACGTATGATGCCATCATCAATTTTTTTTAAAAAAATTAATTAATAATAAATAATTATTTTTCTACTAAATTAATATCACACATCAAATGTTGTCATGTGGCACCCCACAAATTTTGCATTTTATGGGATTTGAACCTGGGTCTAAAGGTTAAAGGATGAAAGCCTTGATACTTAACCATCAGACCAAGTCAATTGATTGTTATTAAATGTCTAATAACAATATTTAAAGTATATTGTTGCCATCAAAATCACCATTAACACAAACATTTTTTTAAAATTATAGTTAGATTTAAATTGTTAGAATTATTTGAGTAAATTTAAATTTATATTAAAAAATTTAATTAATTTTACTCCTTGAAGAGGCATAAGTATCCAGCCGACTTGCATTCTTCACCAAGATTCCACATTTGCCAAAAGTCTTTTTTAAAGTTTATAAATTTAAAATTAATTAAAAATTTTAATATGAATTTAAATTTACTCAAATAATTCTAACAATTTAAATCTAACTATAATTTAAAAAAAGTGCTTGTGTTAATGATGGTTTTGATGGCAACAATATACTTTAAATGTTGTTATTAGCCATTCAAAAACAATCAAGAGACTTGGTCTGATGATTAAGTATCAAGTTTTTCATCCTTTAGACTCAGGTTCAAATCCCATAAGTTGCAAAGTTTGTGAGGTTTAGTAATCTCTCTTTTCTTAATTTAATAAAAATCATGTGCCACATGCAACATTTGATTGGGTGATATTAATTTAGTAAAAATATAATTATTTATTATTAATTATTTTTAAAAAAATTACTGACGTGACATCACACGTGTACATGCCACGTCAGTATTTAGTCTACGTGGATCTACCACGTCATCATCTATTCTGATATGAACATGCCACATCAGCATTTAGTATACTATGATATGCCACGTCATCATATACTGTGATATGGACATGCCACGTCAGCATCTCCCTCCACATGTTATTGCTGAGTCAGCTTTAGGCGTTGACCGTCAGTTGACTAACGTTTTTCATCTAACGAGGGTGATTTTTGACCCAAAATGAAACGTGGGGAGGTCAAATGTTCCAAAAAAACGATTTGGGCACAATTGCATATATAGTCAAACGTTAGGGGTATTTGTTTGCATTATGCCAATTTAATATGCCTATAAAATGTAAATATATGTATCTTGCGCATATCGCCTACTTTATGTTTACTTAGTTTTGTTTATGTACATTGTGTGTATATATATATATTGGCATATAAGTATGTATTTTTCACCTTGTGAATATATTTATAATGTATAGTTATATGTACGTATGCACTATATAAGTATTTTTCGTATTAAGTAATAACAATTCGTATATAATGAGTTAATGCATTTTAATTATATTTATTAATTTAATATGTGTAAAAGCATATGAATTTATTTGATTGTTGACATTGGATTTAATTGCACGTACCTCTTAATTCAAAGTATGATAGCCTCATAAACATTACTTTACCACATCAAATAATTTGACTAAGAGTAATGCCCTTGCATTTTAATATTATCATGAGATGAATGTCTTAAGGCATAAGAGTGTCTCTCCGATAATATTAAAATGAAAATATATTCTTACAAGTAACACTTAAAAAATACGATTCCACCTAAAATTTAGGAACGAGAGACAAAAATGTTCGTATATTCAAATTTATCGAGAAAAGATCATTAGAACTTATAAAAGATCGATTACGATGTCTCTAAATAATCAAACATTCTTATTCTTTCTAAAAAGATTGGTAATTTGAAATTTAATTTGTTTTATTTTGCTTTATTGTTATTTGTGCATTTAAATTTAGAATTGATGATGAATTTTCTAATGGACTAGTAATATTTTCTTATTTCGATTGGATTAAGAAATGATTGTTTTAAGATATGAAAGAATTTTTCTTCTTAATAGAAAATAATTAAATATTATTGTTTTCCGTCATAAAATTCAAGGAATGTGTTTAAAAAGAATCTTAAATTTAATTTTTTATTTTATTGTTATTTATGCATTTAAATTTGGAATTCAAAATGAACTTTAGAATGAAATTTTAATATTTCTTTGTTTTGATTGAAATAGGAATGAATTGTTTTAAAACATGAGAGGTCGTTTCTTCTTAATAGAAAATAATTAAATATTATTATGTTACATCCTAAAATTCATGGAATATTATTGGCAGAGATCTTGAATTAAATTAAATTCGAATTCATAAATTTTATTGCTAAGACAACTAATTAATCGTCTAAATACTAATTTAGGCCGTTGTTGGGGTTTTAATCATTTCCTACGCGTAACTTACTCACGAACCAAATTTTTTGTAACGCATACTAAATTTCTTGTGAAGTTCTCCTCTAACACTGATTACCACAAGGTCCTTGCTGATGGTCCTTGGACGATTTCCAGACAGTACATGACAGTTGAACCCTGGTCGATAGATTTTTGCCCTTCCAAATCCTTTCCAAGCATAATCACGGTGTGGGTTCGGCTCTCGGGGCTGTCAATCACCTAATACAAACAAAGAATAATCGACTCTATCAGATCTTTGGATCCGTAATCAAAATAGACTGTCAAACAGACAATGGTCGTAGAGGATGCTTCGCCCGTATGACTATCAACCTAAATCTCGGTATCGTCTCAAAGCTCTCTATCAATGACCACATCCAAATTGTGGAATATGGATCCTTGCCTACAGTTTGCTTCAACTGCGGATCTCATGGTAATGTTAAAGAACACTGCCTGAAAAACAAACATGTTGATCCAAACATGACCCCCCCCTCCCGGCTAAACCATTACTGCTCCTAATCTCGATCTGCCTTCCTCCGCTCCCGAAGAAGCTTTCAGACCTTGGATGTTTATGAAGAAACGTGCTCGACACACCACCCGAAAAATGGATTCCACCAACCGTCAAATTCCGGTATTCAAATAAATTCCTCAAGTTTCAACTCATTTTGATCCAAATGTTACATACGAATTAATTCATGAACCTACCAATGCCAATACCACCAATCATACCAATCCCAATGATGCTGATATTCCCACGTTATCTTCAACAACTCCCCAAGTTAATGCAAAAATTAGAAAATCCAACCCTACATGAAACAAACTAAAACTCAAAGCCCCTCTGAAGAAACCGGCGCTAACTCAACTGAACAATATCATCGAACATTGTCGCCTCGAGGGGGAACTCGAACTTCATCGGCTCATCCTCACACAGATCAGAAAAATAACATATTTTAAATCCAGCGAAACACTGTTTCAAACCCCTAAGATGGCTAAAACCCTCATTTACCTGGAACCAATCCTGCTCGTGACACTATGAAGAGAATGAAGCGTCATTCCGTCTCCTCTTCATTTCCCAAGAATAATAATCTAGGACCTCAAGTGCCAAATTCGTCAAATTCTGAAAAATTCAGGAAATTCTACATGCGGCAGCTTAATATACGGTTAATGATATGTATTACCGATTTTGTTATTATTTTTTAACAAAAACGGTAAAAAATTACGTGAAACATTATTATTTCTACCGGTTTTGTTATTATTGTGGCGCTTTACCGGTTTTGTTAATATATTCGATAAAACACTATCGGTTTTGTTATTTTTTTAGTATTGATGTTTTAGATATAAATAATAATGTTTTAGGTAATTTTTTTACCGGTTTTGTTAAGAAAAAATAATAAAACCAGTAATGCATTTTCTTTACTGTATATTAAGGCTGCCGCATGGTAGAACTTCCCCTGAAATTCAGGCTATTGATGATGGCCAAATGGCCATGGTTGAATAATTTTGTTTTGCTTCTTTCTTTATCGTTTATGATGAATACTAAATTTTTTTGTTTGGAGAGCACATGGATACGATCACAAAAGCTTTATCAAAACCACTAAGTAATACATGAGGGACTCTCCTCCATACATCTTCGCTTTCGTTGAGACTCGTATTAGCTAACGCAAAACTGACTTGGTTATAAATTATCTTGGTTTTGATTCCTCCCATAGGGTTGTGGCTGTTGGTTTCTCGGGCAGTATCTGGTTATGCTAGAATGATCAAATTCATATCGATATTCACTTTTTGCATTTTCAATTTATTCATTGTAAATTCACTAATTACAATTCTAATCCCTATTTTCTCTTGATAGTTGTTTATGTCAGCTCTTCGCCCAACAAGCGTCAGATCTTATGGAGATATCTGAGTGACCTGGCTTCCATTATAAATGAACCTTGGGCAGTTATAGGTGACTTCAGTGCTACCCTTTCAAATGATGAAAGACGGGGCTCAGAGCCAGTCCTGACATTTTAAGGGCCCTAGGCAAAATAAGAATACGGGCATTTTAAAAAATAACTTAAATTTCAAGAATAAATTTCGGTAAATGTCAAACAAATTTTTTCATTAAAAATTATACGAGTAGATTCTATTACATTAACCAATATTATTTTACCAAATATATAAAGAGACATCACAATTTTCACTCAATTTACTCCTATTATGTCTTCAATCATCTCTTATAATCGTTTCTCTCAATCGAAAATTGACGCCTCTCACCTACAAAACAACATACACAAATTCTCATAAGAAACGGTTTCTTCTAGCATTTTGAGATGCAAAGTCATTGATAATAACATCAACATCAATGTTTCCTATCATCTCCTTCTCAATAGCTAATGTTGCTAAACCATTCAACCTTTCTTGTGACATTGATGACCTCAAGTACGTTTTTATTAATTTAAGCTTTGAGAAACTTCTTTCGGCTGAAGCTACGGTCAAAGGCACAATTAATAAAATCCTATAAGCAATTGAAGCATTCAGATAACAATCTGCAGAATTGACAAACTTAAGAATTTCAGTAGCGGATAACAATTCTGTCGGCAAAGTCATTTGTAAGACTTTTAATTCAGAGAAAAGATCATCTAAATCAACATCTGATGAATTGCCATGAGAAAAGGTAGAATGAAAATGAGCACAACATTCTTTCAACTCATTATCATCTAATGACTTTAACTTATTTGAATCATATAAAAATCCAAAAATACTTTCAAATGTCTTCAATTGCTCAAATCTATTCTTCGAAGAAGTAATTGCCATATCTACCACAACCAAAAAATAATTGACTCTAAATGACTTCTCAGGCGATTCAACTTCGTTATTCTCATTATTCTCTCCAAAAAAATTCTTCCTAATCACACGACGTTTTGCGGGAAAGATAGGCTCCACATCCATTTCAAGTGCAAGACTTTTAGCTACATTCATACTAGTTGTAAAGCCTTCATCTCTATATTTTTCAAAGTAGGACATCACACCTTCTAGTTGCCTTATGGTAGTATCAATGCACATAGACTTAGATTGTAATTTCTTGCTTACCATATTAACAGAAAATAAAATGTCATACCAAATCACAACACCAAGCAAAAACTCAAAACTTGAGAGTGCATTCACCAAACTTTCAGCTTCACTTTTTGACTTTGCATCATTTTCACAAGATTCATATAATTCACACAAAGCCAATCTTATTTGGGGACATTGAAATCTAATAGCTTTGACACTTTTAATTCGACTCTCCCATCGAGTATTTGATAAATATTTCACAGTTAATCCAGGAACATTATCAAGTAAAATTTTCCATCTCTTTGTAGAACCCGAAAACAATGCATATATGCGTTGTAAAACTCCAAAAAAAGAAATAGCTTTAACACAAGAATGTGCCATATCACCAAGAGTGAGATTTAAACTATGACAAGCACAAGGCATGTATAATGCTTTTGGATTAATTTCAAGAAATCTTTTTTGAACACCTTGGTGCTTTCCTTTCATATTAGAACCGTTATCATAACCTTGTCCCCTCACATCATCAACATTAAGATCAAGAGACTTCAAAACATTTTGTAGTTCATTAAAGAGTCCTAATCCAGATGTATCATCCACTTTTAGAAACTCCAAAAAGAACTCCTCAATTTTAACTTTGTTATTTAATATATTAACACATCGAACTATGAGGGTCATTTGTTCTTGATGGCTCACATCAGGCGTACAATCAAGAATTATGGAAAAGTATTTAGCCTCTTTAATGATCTTAATGATAGAATTTTTCACACTTTGAGACAAAAGGGAAATGAACTCATTTTGAATTTTATGTCCAAGATAATGATAACGAATTTCACGATCCTGAATGCGTCTAACATGATCTTGCATAATCACATCATACTCTGCAATCATTTCAATCAATCCTAGAAAATTACCGTTGTTATCTTGATATATTTTTTTCATTGGATCCTCGAAATGCAAGATTATGTTTAGCAAGACATTTCACAACTGAGAATATTCTTTGTAACACTTGTCTCCAACGCTCTTTCTCTTTCATAATCTTTTCTTGCAAATTTTTATCGATTGTTTGATTTTTATTCAATCTAACTCTCAATTCATTCCAAGTATTCATATTAGTCATATGTTCAACACTATTTTCATGTTGTTTAAGTTTTGGCTAATATGTTTCCAATCACTTAAGCCATCATTTGCTAACAAACTTTCATCTAATCGATTTGAACAACTTGCAACAAAAACAATATATTTTGTCAACATTTTTAGAATAAACTAACCATTTTCTATCACTAGTCTCACCATTGCTCAACTTTCTAGAATAACATGCATATGAGAAATGTCTATAATATTTATCAACAGGAAATTCAAGATCCATTTCTCTTATGGGCCCTTTTTCAACTAATATATCCATCGCATTATTGTCAAGATTCTCCTAATTTATAGGATCATATATATTCAAATGAGGAAGTGTTTCTTCACCAAGCCTAAATTTTCAACATTTTCATCAATTGACACATCATTAAAGTCAATTGGATCATTCACATTTTCAGAATTTCTAGAATTTTCAATATGCAAATTTTCAGTTGATTGATTCAAAGTTTCATGAGAATCAACATTTTTAAACACAAATTTATCAAGAGCACCTTTTGTGACTTTTTTAACTCCTCATCTCGCTTTCTTTTTTTTCTTTTTTCACTTCCAACAAATGTTTTTTAGGCAACATCTCATCAAAGAGTCAAACACAAACCAATTCTAATAAATAAATATAAGAAAAGAACAATTGCACCTGGATTCTTCAATTAGAATTGTAACAATTGCATCCAAATTCCCAATTTGATAATTGACACTGTTGACATAAATATTAATAGTTATAACATGAACACCAAAATAAAAACATCAAAAAACATCAAGTAAACAGAGCCTTAGCAAATTGTATCAATCATCCATTCATCATTTTAAAACATTTAAGTTATAACAAAAGTTTACTACACAGACAAATCATAATTTAAAACCAGGAATATATGCCAAAACTTTACTAGACAAATCATAATTTATTTTTTTCCCCTTTATTCAAGAGAAATCAGAGAATACCAAACATTTTCTTTAATTTTTTGAAGCAACACACAAACCAGAGAATCCAGACAATACAAGAGTCTTTATCCATTCGTTTTTTATTTCGAATACAACAATAAAAACAAAAATTTATAAAGCAAAATAGAGTCAAAGAGAAAGGGGAAAGCGTTACTTGTGAGTCATCGGAGCTTCCCATCGAAGTCGGGTTCATCGGAGCTTCCCATCGGCCATCGAAGTCAGGTTTATCGGAGCAAACAGAAACCAAAATTTAGGTCTCGGTTTAAGGGCGTTTTGGCCTTATTTATGTGATTTTCAATTTTGATTTGGATTAAGGTAAATAGATCGGAGTGTTTAGGAAAGTTTTAGGCTTTGATGCTGAAGGTAAATAGAGTGGTGGCCGGTGAGATGTTGAAGATTTTGGAGAAGGCGGATGTGAGTTGCAAGAGAAATGGGGAGAGTAAAACGACTTTTAGTGCTTATTAAAGAAATGGGGCCACATTTTATAATTAAATGGTAAGAAAATGGTACAATAACGTTCATGTCTGCCATAGTACTTATTAAATAAATGGGGGGCCTATTTTATAATTGAATTGTAAGAAATTGTACCGTTCATGTCTGCCATAGTGCTTATTAAATAAATGGGGGCCCTATTTTATAATTGAATTATAAGAAAAATTGTACAATCACGTGAATGCAATTGCCATCAACTTTTAGTGCTTATTAAAGAAATGGGGACCATGTTTTACAAATGCTTTAGAATATTTATATCCATTTCTTTTTACATATCTTCTAGGGTAAAAGATAAAAAAATCTGAGTTTGTATCTTGTATCGACTTTCAAGAATGGGCCCCCTCCAAGAATGGGCCCTAGGCGGTCGTCCCCCACGCCTGGGCTCAGGGCCGGCCCTGACGGGGCTGCATTTCCACTAAAAAATCGAACTCGGATTTCTCTAATATGGTGACTAGTAGTAACCTTTACGATTTGGGGAATCATGGTTCTCGGTTCACCTGGTACAAGGGTAACTGCTATGTTTGGCTCAATAGGTGTCTTTGCAACAATTACTGCTATGAAGCGTTTTTGGATTCTATGATTTGCCATCTTATTCGGATGAATTCCGGTCATCGACCCTTTGTTGAACCATGCTTTGAGATTTTGATATACTAAAAGTAAATATTCTTAAAGAAATTTTAAAATTACTTTTAATTCGGTTTTAAACTTATTTTCGATTAAATCGTTCGAATATATAAATTCTTCTTAAGGTCAAAAACTCCATTTCTACTCCTTACTCTTTGAAATTCAAGTCATATAATAGAATTAATTTTCAATTAGATTTTAATCGAATCAAAAATCAATTTTTAACCCTACAGTACCGATGCTGCAAGAACAATATCGATACTGTTCATGTGGTACCGATACTGGTACCGATACTCCTTTTGTGATTTTGGTAAAAGCAAATTCCAATAGCCAATTTTATACTAATACTGCTCAAGTATCGATACTCATGTTGGAGTACCAATACTCCCCTCTCACCAACAACTAGATTTTTATATTTATTGCAGATAGTACCGATACTCCAAGCCCGATTACCGGTACTCAAGGCGTCTGGGCAGTATTTATTGCGAGAAATTTCATCCCAACGACTCTATTAACTCTCACACCAACCTAAACAGCTAGAATTGAATAAAAGAGTATAAAAACAAGATTCCAAGTAATATGAGTCGGAACCGTCCTTAATCTTTTTGACTTAGCTTAGGTAGGGGATCGACCAAACTTAATTTAAAAAATAAATCAGGTTTGGAAAAACCAAATTTGGAGTCGCCATCAACCTTTGGGTTGGGCAAGTTGAATACCTAAAAATAACTTGTAAAATAATTTTTAATAAAAAATTAAATTAAAAGATAAAACTAGTTGCGTTAAACCATAATCTCATTTTGAAAAGGTTTCGGGAGTCTAATATGTACGGGAAGGATTAGCACCCACAACGCCCAAAATTGACACCTAACGATTATATGTCATCTTTATATTTGAAAATTATAACTTCGAATGATATTTAAATTACGACCCTTTTCTTTAAATTAAATAAAAATTTTAAAAGGATATTCTTTTCTATGAGCAACCTTTAGAAACATACCCCTTTTTAGTTAAGGCGCAATTCCATGGATTTTCCATGTAAAAGATCATTGTAACCCCCAGACCGATGCGGGTAACCCGATCCGATCTGGAGTGTCACATTAGGGCCACCGGAGTGATTCACTATAAAAATGGCGGAAATTTAAAACTTTTATTAAAATCATGTAACTTATAAAATCATTTATCACTGTGCAGAAATAAAGTCGGTTTTCAGCCGATTCACCCCGGTTTTACCGGTTTTCAGCCGATTCACCCCGGTTTTTAGCCGGTTCTATCGGTTTTCAGCCGGTTCATTACCAGACTGGTTTTGTGAGGTAACCGGACTGGACAGGCCACCGGTTCACGGTTCAACCTGTTGAACTGACCGGTCCGGTCCGTTTTGATAACCATGATCCAAACGCCACAAAATGATAATTTAGCAGCGTTTTTCCAATAAACGCCGCAATAGAGTGGTAATTTACCGGCGTTTATAGCACAAACGCGCAATAGAGTATAATTTACCGGTGTTTTTTCAATAAACGCCGCAAAATAATAGTAATTTAGCGGTGTTTTTCAAAAAACGCCGCAATATAGTAGTAATTTAGCGGTGTTTGTATAAAAACGTCGAAAAGGGTTGTTTATACTGGTGTTTTCCAACAAACGACGTTATAAAATAGTAATATAGCGACGTTTATAAAAAATACTGTAATAGAGTTGTTTATAGTGGCATTTACGCAAAAGACACCGCTATAGAGAATTAATTTAGCGGTGTTTTTAGAAAATCGCCACAATAGGTATCATCAATAGTGGCGTTTGTTATTAAAACGCCGTAAATACCTGTACTATAGTGGCGTTTAAAAAAAATGCCGCCATAGGGTAAATATATGCTCCACCTTTTTCTCCTGCCCGATCCCTAATATAATTTAAACGTTGCTTACCTAAAAGGGATTTCTCTGGTAAAACAACAACCCTCAGACAATTCCAAGCGAAGTCATCTTCTGTCTATCTCGGCGACCAAATCGACCCTCTCATCGGCGAACAGTAATCTCACAATTGCACGGTTTGATCCCTTCTCTCACTACTGAACTTTTTAATATATTTTTTGTTCGTATTCTGAAAATGGGGAAAACCCAGGAAGATAACGTAATTGAGAAAAATAATAGCTTTCAAATAGGAAAACAATATCTATACATAGTATTTTACTGGTTTACTGCTTGTGAGCAGTGTTTTTGTGCTTTCGAATTGAAAAATAATAATTTTCGAATAGGAAAATAATAACTGTTGAAAACGTGAACAAATGGTTGTGGTACAAAGAGCAGATGTTGCCTTGAGTAAGGGAAATTATTGTTGGAATGTCCACGTGGCGTATTTGCTCTGACGATGGATCAAATTATTGTTGGGAGGCTATCAATCCCAACTTGCCGTCGAAAGTCAATGATGACCCGAAAGAAACTCATATTGCTCCATACCCTTCCATGACCGATCTCCTAATTGAAGGTAAGAATAGCTTAAAGTTTCTGCCGCTATATTTTGATTTTGTACTATAAAATTTCATAGATCGCACGCATGAAGGATGTTCGAAGCTTATTGAGAACGATGATAGAGGAGTGGATAAATACCTGATGTTTTGAACCGAATTTGGTAAATCTGTGGCGTTGAAAGAATCTTCAATTGCAAAAGCAGTATCTATCCTCAATGAAGACGACGTTGCCTCT